ATCTGAACGCATCATGCCAAAGTGTCCCTTCTGCTCCATTAGGTTTCATTGCGTTTGAGCGGCGGTGTTGCTTGCCCGCTTTCTACAGTGTTGTTGCTGCCGACTGACCTTGGGCGTCCTGGTAGCTTTAAATGAGCAGTGCTTCAGTTTCAGCTGCTTCAGCTGCTTTGGGTTTCTATCGAGCTGCACGCCCCGCAGCTTGCCGGGCCGTGTGGCTTTCACTTCCGATGCATTGCCCACAGCCCTTCATGTCTTGTCTGTTGCCTTGGAGCTGCGTGCTCTGCAGCTAGCCATGTGGCTTCCTTCGCTGCAGCTGCACGCCCTGCAGCTTGCCATGTGGTTCGCGCCCACGCATCTTGCCGTGTGGCTATCGCTTCCGCCGCATGCCTCGCAGACTGCCGCTGCGTGCCCGCCAGCTTGCCATGTTCGTGTTCTCTTCAATTGCGCGCCCCACAGCTTGCCATGTGGCTTCACTTCAGCTGTTCTCCCGCAGCTTGCCTTGTCTTGCCTGATCCGTTCACTTGTGCTGCGCGCCCCCGCTGTTGCCATGCTGCTTTCTCTGCGTCTGCACGCCCCGGAATAGGCCGAGCCTTTCTGAGCGCTTCTTGTCGCCATCTTTTTCGCTGTGTAATTCATCAGGGTATGTTGCTCTTGGCGACAGCTTCTGATCTGTATTTACCTCTTCCGCCCTTCGTGTCTCGCCCCTCTTACTTGCATTTCTTGTTTGGCGTACATGCTCGTCCGCTTGTGTGGCTGGCAAAACTAGCTGGCTTTGCTTGGTGGTGGGTGGTGGTGGGTGGTGGTGGGTGGTGGTGGGTGGTGGTGGGTGGTGGTGGGTGGTGTTGGGTGGTGGTGGGTGGTGGTGGGTGGTGGTGGGTGGCTACAGTGTGACCCGGAGCCAGCTTGGAAGGCCATAGCTGAGGCTGAAGCGGTCACTGGTGAGGTAGGAGGACTTTCCTTGCGTAAGACCCCTGAAGGATGGAAGCAAGCCCAAGGTAGTGTAGGAAATATGCAGGCTACTTTGTACGGTCAAATCAAGGCTTTGCGACTTGAGCTCTTGAACCGGTACAATGTTGAGCTGTCCGTGCATTCTGCGCTTTTCACTTGGCTTGTCCGACATTCGCAGTGGCTGGTAAATCGCTACTTGCAGAACTCGGAAGGCAAAACAGCTTTTGAGAGACGCTGGGGTAAGCGGTGCAACGGCTTTTTGTGTCGCCGTGTCGATTTGGAGAAACCGTGCTTTTCAGACGCCTTCAGCGCAAGGGCAAGGTTTCATGGTTTTCTGGCATTTTGCTAGGAAAGGACACGGAGTCGGATCAGCGCTTTGTTGCTGACGCTTCGGGTGTCTTCAAGACTCGTAGTGTCAAACGTTTGCCTCCCTCGAAGCAGGCGGACTTGGCACTTTTGAAAGGCATTAAGGCCAGGCCCTGAGACCCTCAAGGCTCCAAAGTTGAGATGGACGCCTTCATCTTTCCAGCTTCGCCGTCAGAGGAGTGTGCCTTTGGAGCTCCAGGCAGTTGAACTGAAGAAGTTGCTGAGCTTGAAGAGCTCTTGAGTCAAGACATGCCAGTTGAGGATGATGACAGCATATACTTTCCCTCTGTCTGAATGTGCGGAAGGTCAAGGGAGACCTTGAACGTCGGAAGCTCTAAGGTGCAGCGCATCGCTTGCGTGACTGTGGACAGAAAGACAAAGAAGAAGAAGCTTATAGAGCCCATGACTTTCGAGTTGCTGCTGTCACCACAAAACAAGACCTTGAAGTGCCTGTCGCGGTGAACCAGGATGAGAAGGAGCTTGCTCTTTCCAAAACTTTGGAAGATCCGCAGCTTTGGCATGAGACAGAGTTTCCACACGAAGAAGAAGAAGTTGCAGGCATGAAAAAGGAAGTCAAGAGCATGCAGGACTTTGAAGTGTTTGATGAAGTCCCCGTCGAGCAAGTCCCAGATGAACTTTCGCAGCAGGCGATTTCAACTAAATGGGTCAGGACTCGCAAGGGCGATGGGGCTGTGCGTTGCCGACTTGTTGCTAGAGGTTACACTCAGCAGGTTGATGACAAAGACGAGATTTTGTTTCCACACCGTCGCTGACGACCTTGAAGCTTTTGCTTCTGTTGGCAATGGCCTTTACCTGGCTTTACCTGGGGCGCTGCGGTTGGTGATGTTCCCACAGCTTTCTTGCATGCCTCTGTGGACTCTGACATCTTTGTCATTGCGCCGCCTGAGTTTTACCCTCAAGGAGGCGTCTTGTGGAAGTTGCGCAAGGCACTTTGCGGGCTCCGAAATAGCCCGAAGCTGTGGCAGACTCACTTTGCCTCCGTTATGGCCAAGAACGGCTTGTAAGCGCATGAAGTCAGACCCGAACCTTTATGTTCACAAGTCTAAACGGCTTTACGTGTTGGCGTCGTTGATGATCTCATGTTCTTTGGACAGAAGCATGAAGTTGATGCTGTTGCGCGTGACCTTCAGCGTGACTTGCTTTTGAAGTTGACCGGCGCTCTCTCCGAAGGTGAAAACGTCGCTTTCCTCCGACGAGAGATCCGAAGGACCTCTGAGGGCATCGAGCTTTATATGAAATCGGAGTACATTGATCGCGTGCTGGAACTTGACGATATGAAGAGTTGTAGACAGTCCGCTGTGTTGCAGAAGCCAGCGATCGCAAGACAGCCTGCTGTCCCATCAACCCTTTTTCGGGCCTCCGCAGCGATGCTATTCCTTCGTAGGAAACCAGGGGCCCACTTGAGGCCAGAAATGCTGGGGGAACATTCGGAGATGCGCAGTTGCCTGTAACCGCAGCATCATCCAAATTTTTTACACACATTGAATTACAAACATGGGTCCCGGTTTTGCAAGTTGTGTTGAATGGGGTTTCTGACCTTCAACCCTTGGACGATGAGCAGGCTGGGCACGAAAATCAACGGTCTGAAGGTAAGCCTCATCTGCAAACCCATTATCATTACCTTTCATGATGATATTGTCTTCGTGGTGCCTGTGGGGCCTGACCCTCAGGAGGGCTTCAATGCCGAGCTCGAAGTGGGATTCGCTGAGCCACAGCATTACTGGAAGAGGTTTCAAATCTGTTTCGGAAGGTGGTGAGGTGGTCCCTACTCCTATTGCATCCAGGCCCCGTTCGGAAGCCAGAGCTCATTTTTTGATGTTCGGGAAGATGAGACGGTTTGTGCCTCGACCGCTCGACTGGGCCCCCTTGCGGAGAGTGAGGCGGACGCGGCCCCTGTTTAGTAGAGCCGAAAGCTGACAGCCGCAACAGTGAGCTGCTGCAGCCAACGTGGGTTCTGACGGACAAGAACTCTTCCTTGTCCACGGCGGCGTGGCCCTTACGTCTTAAAGCCCGTGCGTTTTGTTCTCCCGGCTTCAGAGACGCGGCTAACATTGAAGGACGTTTTCGAACGGATGCTCCTACAGCCTCCCGCGTAGCCGTCCTCTACCTCCTTCACTTCCAGACGTGCGCTGTACAGGTGCCACCTTCGAGGTGTTCAGAGGAGTGTTTGGCTTGGCGGATGCCCCGTGCCAATGGTACTTTCATTTGTGTCGGACCAGCGCGATAGGTTCCTCAGTTGTTTAGATGGCGCTGTGACTTTCCCGCAACTCTTCAGGGCAAGCTCCTTGGTTGCCTCGTGTGCCATGTCGATGACTTGCTCTTTGCTGGTGTGGAAGAACGCGAAAGTCCGAAAGCTGGGATCAATTGGGGTTTGGTGCAGCTACTATGACTTCCAGTACTGTGGACCACGCATCCGACCTACCTTCCGTCAGCATGGATCTGGACTGGCTTTTCCAGCTGCGTTTTTATCAAGGGCTCCAGCTTTTTTCGAGCCTGCAGTTTGAAATTCTCAGACTGCGGGAGCTATCCTGCCAGGCCAAGAGCTCCGCTCAAGAACGGCCCCGATTTCGTATAAGCCTACTGGCAGGTGGACATCAGGCCTGGTGATGGTGAGTGACGCGACCCCGGCAATGTCGCGGAATCTAGTGGCATGTCCGGCTCGACTGGTCAAGACCTTTTTTTCTCAAAGCTGTTATGCCATTCTGTTGGCTTACCCCCAGCTGACACAGAGGCATCGCGGCATTTCAACTTGATCAACTTCCAGAGTCATGTTCGTGAAGGGGTGCTGATCCAGGTGTCCGAACCAGCTATACGCTTCAGATGGCTTGAGCCGCGGACAGCGTGAATGGCGTTTGGTTGAGGCAAGTCACGCACCTTTCCAGACTTCCGGCTCCACTTGGAAAAATTGCTATCACCTTGGCAACCTTTTGAAAGGCAGCTTTGGGCAATAAAAAACATAAAATCCATGTGGAAGTCGGTACATTGCTTGGTTGGTGTTTGCCCCCTAGAGCATTGCCCGAAGCGCTTGTCCCGCCTGTGTTTGGACCATCAGGCGCCTTGAGCAAGTGCCCCAAAAAGGCTGCTGTGCACAGTGTTGCTGCAGGAATATCCAATTGTTCGCGCGGTTCGCATGTGTCCAGTGAACCAGACGATTCCCAACAGAATCAAAGACAAATTGCAATTACCGCTTCGTACGTGGCAGTGTACCCTTGTGACCAAAAGTTTTCCCATTTGCATCACACCAGCATTGCGATTCTGTTTAGCGCAACGGCAATGGCACTCGTTTTTGCGTTGCCAATGAATGCAACTGTGAGAGATGTGGTGGCAGTGGAATTGGATGGCATTTTGCGTACTTCCCAAATCTAAATGATCTGATAAGTTTTTAGCTGCGCATGGCTCAGTTATTCATGTACGAAAATTAACGTTCCAGATAACCACAATATTGCAACTCAACCGCATACGCGCGCGCGTGCGCTCACTCAGTTACTCACCCACAGGCAAGCATGCAACTGTGGGTCATTGTGGGTTGGACCGAGGCCATTGCACACATGCATGTACAAGCCTCGTGATTGCGCGGATGCACATGCATGTCGGGTCTGTGTGTTTGTGGGTGTGGCGGGTCTCGAACATGCCCCTGAGCGCATTTTTGTTTCTGCATTGCTGAGATGTTGCGCTTTGTGGGGGCGGCTTTTGGCCGACATCTCAAAAATCCGGAAGCTCGCGACTCTGAGACAATGACGCGGGAAAAATTTGTCCGCTGGAGGTGCCCCGGCTTTGGCAATGATCCGAGGCAGTGGGAATGAATCATGATGATTCATGAAACCGTGTGGAAAAACCAATTCCTGTTGCAGGTGTGCCGCCCGACCTTCAAGGGCAGTACGAAAAGGCACCTTTTCATTGTGACGGCGCCAGGGAGGTGCCAACCAAAGATGCCATTCGTTTCGCCTGCGAACTCATGCTGATCCCCCACACCCCCAAACATTGGATTCTCACATTGTGGTAAGTTGTAATATACTGGGAACATTGAACATCAGGGGGTGGGTGGGGGATCTCATATTAGGAAGGGATTGTCATTTCAATTGAACCAGTCTCTGCGCGCAATTTATGAATCTGAAATGCTGGACGTTCCTGACTCAAAGGCTTCAAGCAACCTCCGGGCAATACGAATGCCTTTGCTGCAAATGCTCTCTAAACAGAGATGATGCCGCACGCGCGGTTCGAGATGAAACCATCAGATTAGAGCTAGCTGAAGGAACTGCTGTTGGCAGCGTGGTCCTTTGGTATACCAAAGAGCACCCAGTTGATGTTCCCACCGATCAGCTCACACGTTGACATGGAGCACCGTGGAGTTTGTGTGCCAGCTGAGGTGCTACCATCTTCTCTGAACGACGATTTCTGTGACTGCACAGATGGCTCTGACGAGCCAGGCTGGGTTTGATAGGGCGCTCATGGTGCATAGCTTTCTCCGCACATCCGGATGTGCGTCTTGCCAGAGACCAGTTTTGCTGATGCTCATGAAAGGCACCGGAGCTTGTGCGGGAGCTGCTGAGGCCGTGACGTCCATGCAGCTCGCTGCAGCTCTGCAAGTTCCAGCAACATCGAGCAACTTTCAAACGCTTTCCAGGCTCTCTTCCACTGTGCAAACCCTGGCAGCGCTCCACGATTGGCCTGGGTCCAGGACCAGACAGGTGGATGCTGTGGCTTGCAGCGTACGCTGCAGCATATTGCAGCTTGCAGAATTGTTGAAGGCTCACGCGCTTCAGGTCTATGTGTCCAGGGTGGGGGATGGGATTTGCGACTGCTGCGACGGCTCTGACGAGGACCCCCAATGAGTTTCCAAGGCTAGGATTGCACACCTAGAATCAAGCTTGCTTGAGTCAAGCCCCTACCCACATCGAGCCTTCTTTCTATTCACAATCTTTTTATTTCCATTTGTTTGATGATCATCTTTGAGGGTGAAGGGTTAATTATGAGATCATTAAGCAGAGCCTTCCGCTTTCTTTTTCACATGCTGCGGCTAGCCGGGGTTTGGCAAATTGATTTCTGTTTGACTAGCGCATGCTTCCCATGCTTCCCGTTGCGCAGACTTCGCATTGGAGGGTGCGGTTGAGCGTCTGTTTACAATGTATTCCAGACGTTTTCAAACTGCAAAGCTTCGATTGAAGCAGAGAAAGTGCATGCAGCGCGCTCAGTTCATCCTTGTTGACATTGCCCGTGTGGACGTGGCTTCATGCCAACTGCTCTGTTCAGCAGTTTCGCAGATGGTCAATCAGATGACAACTCGCTTGCATAGGCAAGCGCGCGCCGCCAGACTTTTGTGGAATTGTTGCTCGAACGGTTGCTTGTTTTGCAGGCAAGAGCTGATTTCATGGAACTTCAGTTTGCTCGCAGCATCAGAAAAGCGGTCATCCACGAAGGGTTTTCTTCATGTATTTTCGAAGGGAGTTCTTGTGTGATTCCGCCAGTGTAGCAGCAATACTGCGCCGACTGTGCCTAAGCCCTTTAGACATGACCGTGGCTCCGTGTCTCTGTGCAGGAGCGTAGGATCTGTCAGAACCTGAGATGCAAATGGCTGTAAGTGACCAGTTTTTGCGGCACATTTACTGCGCTTCATCGCGCTTCTTTGCGCTTCTGTGCTTCTGAGATCTTCTGAGGTCCGGACACCTGCCAAGAAGAAGGCCGTCTCCCTCACGTACATCGTCATAGCATTGTCCTACCTTTCAGGTGCCAGGTTGCGTGCTGAAAAAGAAAGGAAGCTTCGTGACCTGCGTTCTGGAGCCCAGATGATTTCGGATGATGGCATGTGATGACAGTGATGAGTGACATCATGAGTTCACTGAGGTCAGGTCATGTGAGGTCTTTTGCGAGACTTTTCAGGTGCGGGCCTCCAGGTGAAGCAGGCCACCATCCTCGAGGATGCGCTGCGACGCGCTGCAGTCACTACACTTGAAAATGCCTCTGGCCCTCCGTTAGCCGTGAACAGTCCGTGAGCCTAGCTTGCCGTAGGCTTTGTGAGGAGCCTTAAAAGCCATTAGAACCCATGCCATGGTTCTTCACAACATGTCAGACCGGATAAAGATCTTGAGCTGTTGTGAGGGTGCCGGTCACCTTTCACCTGTTGGGATCGCTCTGCCCAAAAAAACAATTTTGAGAGAACACAAATTTGACTACATCTAAAATTCTACCAGGAGCAGAAGCAGGTCGTTGCGAAGCAGGAAGAGCTGGACAGGAATCGATGCTGGCAGAAGTTCGTGAAGGAATTTGTGTGATGCTTGTTGTGGCCAGGCTTGTATCAAAGCTGCCCAACCTCGAAACACAGCTTGCAGAAGCGCGGAAGCGCAAGGCGGAATGACATGTTCTCATACGGCGGGCCATCTGTTTGTCGCAGAGGAGGAAGCAGACGCTGCGAAGTCGCAGCAGGAATGCCAGAGCGATTTGCCAAAGCCTGGCAACCCAGAAGCGAACTGACAGGCTGACACATTTGGAGATTCTTTACTGCTCTTATGTGTGTTTTCTAAGGCTACGAGAAAAGGTGAAGCTCTTGGAGGCCAAAGGCCAAAAGGCGAATAGGACTCGCTGCGTTCACAGAGCTGAAAGGCCAAGATCGCCTCACTGGAGGCTGGGGGCCCCCGCCGTGCATATCCTTGCATGGAAGCGTGCATGGCTGCGCACGCTGCATGCGCAGATGCTTTGCAGATGTTTCAGGCGCAGCTTTCCAAGGACGAAGGCCGAGTTGTTATCGTGTTCACAGGCCTGTTTGAGGGCTGCTGGGCAGCCAGGAACAACGACGAGCACCACCACGAAGGTTGTGTCTGAATATGCCAAGCGGCCACGGCCTGTCTTCTAGATTCTGTGGCAAGGGTGCCAAGCAAAGGCATGTTCCTCGAGCCAGGTGGATGGAGGGTGCTGATGATGCCATGGGGGAGGAGATTCGAATGAGATGAGACAGAGAGAGAGAGAGAGAGAGAGAGAGAGAGAGAGAGGGAGGGGAATGTGGTAGAAGTCTGGGAGAGGGTTGATCCTCGAGAAGTGGGACCTAATGCGCGAGCGCGGAG